ACAACACAGGTATTTTCGCCGAGCAGTCGTGGCCGAGTGGTTAAGGCGATGGACTAGAAATCCATTGGATCTTGCGCAGTTCGAATCCTGCCGACTGCGTAGGGTTATTTCTTTTGACAAATTAGTGTTAATGAGGACAACAAAAAAATTAATTTAAAAACAAGACTTTTTTGTATACTCGATAAAAGTATTTTTAATCTGGGATTGAATTTTTACTTGTTACACAAACAAACAATGGATAATGCGATCTTACCGTCCGAGCGCCATTAGTGGGACTGGTTTTGTATATGGATCTTTATAAAGTTAAAATGAAACCTTTATAAAGGAATGACGCTAAAACTCGAAATTCTTGATTTCATTCTCTGTGATAAATTACAAATTCAGTTTTAAAGTTTTTAGTTCTCTTCAGGCTTCTGTATTAAATATTGTCATTTTATTAGTCTCTCGTGTAACTGTAACCTGGACCCATCAATCTTTGAATTTGAAAATATGAAAAAGAGCAGAATGTATGCAAATAATTTGCGAGAATAAATGCATTTTTCAAAATTCAAAATTATTTTATGAAAGTGTAATTGATATGCAATGCATACAATTTTACTGTAAAAAAAAAATTTACCGATTAAATAACTCACAAATTATAATCCGCAATGAATGAAAATGCTTAAAAAGTGTTAAGTGTTATATAGGCATGATTATGATGTGAGAAATGATTAAGTGTTAATAAAAATCAAGGTAAATTCCACTTAACGTTGCAGTATTGATCAAAGATAATCAAAGTACACCTGTCAAATGTCAAATATCAGCTGTGAATACGTAATTGAAAATTGTTTTTAAAGGAACTGTATCCAAGCAGTCGTAGCTGAAAATGAATTCCACTGTATGGTGGAATATTGTTTCAAGATAATCAAGTACACCTGTCGATTGTCAAATATCATTGCTGAATATATAATTGAAAAATGTTTTTGACGTGCTTACTTCTGAGCAGTCGTGGCCGAGTGGTTAAGGCGATGGACTTGAAATCCATTGGGATCTTCCCGCGCAGGTTCGAATCCTGCCGACTGCGTTGTGATTTTTTTTTGTTACAGATTTTATGATAGACGAAAGTATTGAAGGTTTATACATTACTGAAATATTTCAAATAATTATGTTTCATTTAACCGTTTTGATATTTTAATATATAGTTGTTTTTAAGATATTTCATAATTAGTCTCTATATATTGGTACGTTTTTCGTACATGGTTGTTATAAGTATTATAGAGACAATCCTGACACCTGTTAGCGTTGTTATAAACCAGATATAGTGAACAATTTTTAAAGAAGATTTGTAATATGAAGTACAGATTATATGCAGAACTTTGAATCTAATTATATTTAAAAATATATTTTTTTATTCACAGACGGAAAAAAAAATGACCCTTTTAAAAAAGAATTATGCGAATAAGGAATGGTTATTGGAGATTCATTAAATTTTCACTCGCAGGTTCGAATCCTGTCGGCTGCGTAGCTGTTCTTTTTTACAATTTATTTTGTCTTACTTATATATTTTTTTCTGCACATCAGTTAGTTCTATTTATGTTTAGAGTGTACATCCCAGCGACGGGTGGCAATAGGAGTGCATTGATTTCCAGGAGGTCTCTTATATGTAACTGCAGCACATTTCAGCTGTTGCATGGAAAAAAACGTCGGAAAACATATACTACGCATATTGATTGGCGATACGATGCGTTTATACCAGGGGTCGGCAACCTGTGGCTCGCGAGCCACATGCGGCTCTTTGCATGTTAAGCTGCGGCTCTTTAGTTCCATACGCAAATATTATTTATTTTATAAAAAAAAACCATTTAAAAATATAATTAAATAATTTACTGTTAATAATTGAATATAATTAAAAGTAAAGCAAGAAGCCAACTAACAAATGAAAATATAGAGTTGTGTTTGAAACTTAAAACAACAAGTTATGAGCCAAATTTATCCAAAATTTCTAAAACCATGCAAAGCCAACGCTCCCATTGAATTTGTTTGCTGAAATGTATGTTATTGTTTTTTTTTATTTTAAGTACAAGTTACATTGTTTAGAGAAGTTTAAATTTTCTACTTGAATAACCATGCAAAGCCATCGCTCCCATTGAATTTGTTTGCTCAATTGTTTGTTATTGAAGTAGAAGTTAGTGTTGTAAGTAAATGCTTAATTGTTTTAATTGTTTTACTTAAATAATAAGTAATTATCTAATAATGCCATATAGATATTATCTAATTTGTTGTGAAAAACACTACTTATATATGAATAAATAGATATTTTTTTCTTATGAATAAATAGATTAATTATTTTTTTATCAAAAAAATGTATTTATGCGAGTACTATTTATTGTTGGCAAGAAAAAATTTTGTGGCTCTTTAAAAACTTTGAAATTTTGTAAATTGTGATTTTGGCTCTTCCGACTCAAAAGGTTGCCGACCCCTGGTTTATACACATTATCGCAATCCTCTTTGAATCTTCTCG